CACAGTGGTGAGATCTTGCAGAAGTTCACTGCAGTATCACATCTAGGTTACTGACATTGATTAAAGCAACACACCTCCCCCGTCGTGTTCAGATTTCCCGGTTTACTTGTACTCATCCTGTGTGTGTGTCTGTGTGTCTGTGTATTTAGATCCATGTAATTTTATCACGTGTAGGTTCATGTATCTCTACCACAGTCAGGATACGGAGTAGTCCCATCACCACAAGGGACCGTCCTGTTGCCCTTCTGTAGCTGCACTCACCTGCATTGACTCTACCTCATCACCCCGACCTCCGCCCCCGTGACAACCACTAACCTGTTCTCCGTTTGTATGACTATTTCAAAAAGGTTATATAAATAGAATCAGACAGTATATAACCTTTAGATATTAGTTTTGAGATCGGACCTCAGCATAATTCCCTTGAAGTCCATCCTGGCTGTTGTGTGTATCCATGGCTCACTCATTTTTATGGCTAAGTTCCACGGTGTGGATGTACCACAGTAAGTTTAATCATTCACCCATCTGGGTTATCTACAGCTATTGGCTATTACGAATAAAGCTGCCGTGAACATTTGTGTACAGGTTTTTGTGTGAACGCAAGCTTCCATTTCTCGGAGATAAATGTCTGAGTGCAATTGATGCATTGCGTGATAGCTTACGTTTAGTTTTACAAGAAGTTGCCAAACTGCTTTACAGAATGGTTGTACTGTTTCCCTTTCCAGCCAGCAGTGTATGAGCGATCCATTTCTCTGCATCCCCATCAGCATTTGGTGGTGTCCCTTTTTTATTTTAGCCATCCTAGGTCTGTAGTGGTATCGCAGTGTGGTTTTAGCTTGCATTTCCCTGATGGCTAATGATGTTGAACATGTTTTCATCTGCTTATTTGCCATCTGTATATTCCCTTCAAATATCTCTTCACAGCATCCGCCCATCTCCTAACTGAATCTTTGTTGTTGAGCTTTGAGACCTTTTATATATTCTAGATACTAGTCCTTTGCTGGATATGTGGGTTGCAAATATTTTCTCCCAGTCTGTATCTTGTCTTTTCAACCTCCTAACGAGCTTTTTTGCAGACAAAGGTTTTAAATTCTGATGAGTTCTCATTGATCAGTTTTTCCTTTTATGGATCTTGCTATCAGAATCAAGTCTAAAAATGCTTTTTCTTTTTAATTCTAGTTTTGAGGTGGTTTTTTTTTTTTTTTGGCTACACCTTGGCTTGCGGGATCTTGGTTCCCCAGCTAGGGATTGAACCCAGGGCTCCGGCAGTGAAAGTACTGAGTCCTAACCACTGGACTGCCAGGGAATTCCCAAGTCTAAAAACTCTTCAACAAGCCCTAGGTCCCAAAGAATTTTTCCTGTATCTTTTTCTAATAGTTTTGTAGTTTTACATTTTATATTTAAGTCCATGATCATTTGAGTTAATTGTGTATAGATGTGAGGATTAGGTCAAGGTTAATTTTCTTTTTCCCTATGAATGTCCAATTCTTAAAAACACTGCCCTTCCTCTATTCAGCTTTTGTGCCTTTGTCAAAAATCAGTTGTTCATATTTCTATATTTCTGGGTTCTCTTTTCTGTTTCATTGATCTGTGTGTCTGTCCATCTGCCAGTACCATATTGTCTTGATTGCTGTAGCTTTACGGTAAGTCTTAACACAGGGTAAAGTGATTTCTCTTATTTCAGTGTTCTTTTTCAAAATTGTTTTAGCTATCCTAGTGCCATTGTCTTCCCATATAAATTTTATAATGATCTTCTCTCTGTATAGAAAGAGTTTTGCTGGGATTTTGATAGGAGTTGCACTAAGCCTATAGACCTGTTTGAGAGAAGTGACATCTTTACTATGTTGAATCTTGCAGTTCTTGAACAGTACGCCTCTCCATCTATTTAGGTCGTGTCTGATTTCTTTCATCAACATTTTGTAATTTCAGCATATAGAGTCTATATATGCTAAGTTTTTAGTTATTTCATTTTGTTTGGAGTAAGTGTAAATGGTATTATGATTTTAATTGTCATTCCCACATGTTTGTTAGTACATGGAAATAAATTTTATTTATTTATGTTTTTGCATGTGTTTATCTTTTTTTTTAATTTTATTTTTGGATGCTTTGGGTCTTCATTGCCTGTGGGCTTTCTCTAGTTGTGGTGAGCGGGGGCTACTCTTCGTTGTGGTGGGCGGGCTTCTCATTGCGGTGGCTTCTCTTGTTGTGGAGCACGGGCTCTAGGCGTGGGGGCTTCAGTAATTGCAGCACGTGGGCTCAGTAGTTGTGGCGCATGGGCTTAGTTGCTCTGAGGCGTGTGGGATCTTCCTGGACCAGGGATCAAACCTGTGTCCCCTGCCTTGGCAGGCAGATTCTTAACCACTGCCCCACCAGGGAAGTCCCTGCATGTGTTTATCTTGTATTCTGTGACTTTACTCAACTCATTTATTGGTTCCAGGAGGTTTTTCTTTGTAGATTGCTTATGATTGTCTACGTAGTCAATCATATCACCTGAAAATAGGAACGATTTTGCTTCTTCCTTTCCAACTTTTCCTTATTCTTTCCTTATGTGGTGGTTGGAATACCCAGTACTGTATTGAATAAGAGTGGTGAGAGCGGATATCCTTGCCTCATTCTGAACCTTAGGGATAAAACATTGGCTTCCATGCTTAACTATGATGTTAGATGTAGGTTTGTTGTAAATACTCCTTATCAAGTTGAGGTAATTGCACTCTATGCTAACTCAGAGTTTTTATCATGAATGTTAGACTTTGTCAGATGCTTTTTCTGTATCAATTGATATGACTGTATGATTTTTCTTCTTCAGCCTGTTTATATGATGGATTACATGGAATGATTTTCAAATGTTGAACCAGCTTTGCACACCTGGTATAAATCCTACTTGGTCATAGTGTATATAATTCTTTTTATCCATTGTTGGGCTCAATTTGCTAATATTTTATTGAGGATTTGTACATCTAAGTTTATGAGAGATATGTATCTGTAGCTTACGTTTTTGTGCCATCTTTGCTTTTGGTATCAGGGTAATCTGACCTCATAAAGTCAGTTTGGAAGTGTTCCCTTCTCTGCTCTCTGATGAGATTACATAAAATTGGTGTTAATTACTCTTTAAATGTTTGGTAAAATTCTCCAGCGAAATCACCTCATCTGGGAGCTTTCTATTGGGGAGCATTTTTTTTTATTTTTCAAATTTGATTTCTTTAATGATAGGACTATTCAGGTTATCTGTTTCATCTCGGTTGAGTTTTGGCAAGTTTGTAATTCAAAGAATTGGACCATTTCATTTGCATTGTCTAATTTACGACATTGACAATTTTCAGAGGCTCTTTAATGCCATTTAGGCCTGCTCTGTTTATCTGGTGCGGTTGGGTTTCCTTCCAGTCCTCTGTTGCTCTTGAAGGGGGCAGAAGTTTCCACAGGCAGAGGTGCCTGGTGCCTCCGGGGAGGGAGGGCATCCTCAGGCTTGAGGGGAAGGACAGAGCTTCTGGTTCTGGGCTTTTGGCTGGATTCCCCTGCCTGTGGGGAGTAGAAAGCATGTCCCAGGTTAGTGACACCTGGCTGCCTAGTGAAGTCTCAGGCCTGCAGAAACAGGCTTCCTGGCCCGGGCACTTGTAGAGAGATCCCCTTTGCCGTGGCTGCGTGGCATCTCTCGGTGAGGAGAGGAGTCTCAGGCCAGTGGGGAAAGAAACCCCTCCTTCTGGCTGCTTGTGTGTAGCGGACCCTGGATTGATGAGCCCCCTTGTCTGTGCTGCTGGGCTCACGTCTTGTTGTTCAGTTCAGGTGAGGAAGGAGCCTTCCTTGACTCTCCTGCCGCTGTGCTGGGCCCGAGTCCTTCCTTCTGTTGGTTGGGGGTGGTCATGAATACCCGGTGCCATCTTCCTCCAGTTCCGGGGTCCCCGACCCGTTTGCCTGTTCGCAGTTATCAGTTATTAGTGCTCATCAGTCTCTGGGTCAGCTGGGTGCTTTTCCTGGTCTTGGGTGGGCTCAGCCATGTGTTTGTGATCAGCTAAGTGTCTCTGTTGAGCCAGACGGGCCTCTCTCTCACATTTGGGGATCAGCTTTCTCTGGGCTGAACAAGGATGGCCTCAGCTTGGACCACCGTGCTCTCCTCCTTGTGGCCTCTGACCCGTCAGCAGGCCAGCCTGGGCTTGTCTGTGTGTCAGTTGCAATGTTCCAGGAGAGTGGGGAAGGGCACAGGGCCCCTGGGACCTCGGCTTGGAGCTGGTATGCCATCCCTTCCGTCAAAGCGAGACATCTGTGTCATTTCTCTTTGCTTCATAGGATGGATTTGGTTTTTGAACAAACCCAGCTTAAGCCAACCCCCTTGGAAAGCAATATGCTTTAACTTCTCAGAAATTTGTATCTTTGCCAGACTATTTCTTGACATTTTTCTGCATTTTCCAAGTTTCCTAAGAAAAGTGTGTATTGTTTTTATAATCTAAAAACAATTATAAAATTTGGAGGTTTTTTTCAGGATTTATGATCTTCTTCTGAATTCTACCCTTTGTCTACCTTTTCTAAATTAATTTGTGGTATTAGTCTTCAGGTAACTCTGATCCTCAGAGTCTGGCAAACCATGATGGGACTCCTTCTAGATGAGATTGTTAATTACCAAACTCATGCTTTCTTCTCTGAGGGACACCTTTACCTCCGTGGTCCATCCTCTCCGGAGGGTCCACTGGTTGAGGACTCGCGGAGGCTGGACGCCCAGGTGCTGGTGGGCAGCAGGGTCAGCTCCTCCAGGAGCCCTGCCCATTCTCTTCCACTGCCGTTCCTGGAGAAGATCACCTTCACCAATCTTCAGTCGCGGTTGTTTTGGGATCACCTGGGGTTTTGCTCTGCATGTGCTGGTTTGCAGTAAATACAGGTCAAATAAGAGGTTTGGAAATAGTTCAAGGCGTTTGTTTTCATGAGCTCCCCGTGGTCTCTCTTCACTGCTTTTGCCTTTTTCAGGCCGTCCTGATTTCTGTCAGGTTGACCCTTGTGCCGTTGCCATTTGGCAGGTCAGAGCAGTTCAGCCCTGGCAACGGCGCTCGGCTCAACGCCCTGCGTCGCTGTGGTCTGCTCAGTGGCCGTCCCTACTCCCGGGCGGCCTCCTTCCTGCCTGCAGAGCAGACGGCCTGAGCGTCTTCCATCCGTGACATGCACACGTCTGTCCTGCTCGTGCAGGCCGATGTTTTTAAAGTAATTTTCAGCCTTGCATAACATTTTTACTCTTTTCGTGTTTTTCCTGTTTAATTCTTGTGCTCAGTCATTACTGCCTCTTTAAATGTTATAATCTTTTGGTTAATGCCTCTGACTCCCCCTCTCCTACAACTTAATTGCTCGCCACCAGTATTTGCACCAGTTCACTAAGGGAGTTCCCGTTTGATGTCCTACTCAAGTGTGACCTATTTCCCACCCTGTGTCCTCCACAGCACCCTTCATTCAGCACCTGCTGTGCCCCGGGCTGAGTGCCAGGCCCTCGGGTCATGGGTATGATGGTGGATCGCATAGAACGTGTGTTCAGTAAATGTTTGTTGAGTGAATACATAGGAGAGAGAGACCAAGAGAGTGAGTGGTATTAGCTTTGGTGGAGCTTCCCATCTTCGGGAGACAGAGTTTCAGTGTGCGGAGGACAGTCGTGGATGTATGTATCGAGGGGCTTTGGGAAAACCGGGAGACTTTTGTTTTTCATACGTGCTGTGTCCACATTCTGCTTCCCAACTGCGTCCTGAAAAGATGTTCTGTCAGATTTATGTGCGGGCAATTCAGGGCCTGTATCACTACCACCGGAGCAAATGGTGCCGGTTCCTACACTTCGTCCGACGTGTCTCGCTCCATGTAATGAACCCGGCCAGGCCCATTGCTGTGTAACATTTCTCTGCTGGGTGCTCTCCTCACCCATCTCGCAGAGGTGTTGCAAGGCTTAAATGGGAATAATATGTGACTGTATATAAACCACTATGCAAGCAGCATGGATTTTTTTTTTTTTTAAGAAGATGTTGGGGGTAGGAGTTTATTAATTAATTAATTTATTTTTGCTGTGTTGGGCCTTGGTTTCTGTGCGAGGGCTTTCTCTAGTTGCAGCGAGCGGGGGCCACTCTTCATCGCGGTGCGTGGGCCCACAGTAAATTACCTGAGAAACAATCACTGGAAAAGGAGATATTTTGCTAAGATTTTTTTCTAGAAGAATTAAAGCAGAGACTTAAATAATGTACCAATAAGGTGGTTTCCTAGACAAGGGTGAATCTGGAAAGGACATATGACAGAAATTGACATTGATTTTGTTACCGAGACTTAAGGAGGCCACGCAGTAGCCCTTCCTAATCTGCCATAGAGTGAAACTTCTCGAAGTCTCCATGGTAACATGCAGAGAACTGTAGCACACAGAGCAGTGTATACCTGCATGAACTCTGATCCAGCAAGAGATCTGCATCCTTCCCCACACCCCACTGGCTGTTTCACCTCCGTGCTTTCCCAGTGCCTCAGCCACCTGCTTCTTCATTGCTAATCATGATGATCTTTTCCCCCAGAATCTACTTCATAACTCACCCTTTCTGCTTCTACTCTCTACCCCCCTCGGCACTTACACGGGAGGAGATGAAGGTGTCTCTGTAAGGGGGCAAACTCTGCGTTATGGTAAAGACACTCGAGACTTAAAATGAATGTTTTAACTGCAGACCTGGACGAAACACGAGTTTGATCATCAAGTGACTTTTGTCCCACCCTTTATATTCAGATGGCCGTGCACTAACTTGCCCTCATTCGTATGCTGCTTAATAGATATCCCTAAGCCTTTTTACAAATAGTCTAATGTTTGAGTAAGACGTTACGGCTGTCAAAGTGTTTACTCATATAATCCAACTTGTTCCTCACCTTGTGAGGTAGCCAAGGCAGGTAGCAAGACGGTCATCTTACAGACGAGGAAACATCCTCTCATGTGATATTTAGCCTGAGCTCAGAGTGGACTTCCGGAGATTTTTGATTGACCGCCAGCTTGCAGCTTTTCATGCCATATTACAAAGTGCATTTACATGTTATTTTGCACGAATTACCTTCATCTCAGGGGCTTTGCAGAACGTTGTTCTAAAAGCATTGTGGCGATTATGAAAGGAGATGTGGTCTCCTCCCCAGTTCCCACCCCAATTCTACGCATTAATTCTATAGCACCAGCTTCCTGTAGAGAAAGGATCAGCAGGGGATGACGGACATTGTTATTTGGTAGCTGACATTTCCTAACATGATTTTACTTTACGTAAGTAGCTTGAAGTCTTTCTTGATTATTCTCTCATCTACCTTTAGGCAAAAGAGGTGTTTTTGATCTGTGCATATAGAAATCAACGGGTACCATGCATTTTCCGTGCCATTATGACTGCCATCTTGGTAACAACCAGTGGTGTATAACATGAAAGTCTTTCTACTTTAAGCAAATTTTGTTTTCCCTATTAAGAACGAAGGTTAATAAGAAGCTGGAATTTTCTGTACTAACATTAGTCCATATTTTTATAGCATTTGCCTAAAGAAAATCATGAAAAAACAAGGTGATAATATATTTTAGAACAAGCCCTCATGACTTAGATTTTTAAAATAATGCCTTGTTAAGTGTTTTGGACTTTGGACAAAAAGTCTCCTTGAGAAACTCCATTTCCCATTGCATCATGGTTCTTTACATGACTGGGCTGCAGTTCACATTTTTATATCTGAAAAGTATAGTCAGAGAATGTTTTTGTTTCATCTAACAGTTATTTCTACACATGAGCAGATGACCCGCCTGCATCTGTATTTATGCTCTGACGCTGTGAGTGTGTGTTTTGTATTTCACCATAGTCAAGTACATCACGTGTTTTTAGCCGGTTGAAGTGTATTTAGAGCAACCGTGAATCTAGCATGATCCATAAACTAAAATACATTTCATCTTAACAGAATAGACTTGGCAGAATGGCTGACTTTAAAAGTAAGCTTAAGCAAAATGATGAGTTCATAATCATTTAATGTGAACTGAATAAGGTTGAAGGGCCCAGTGGGGTCCATTACTTCAGAGTGCTTCTATGATTACACATTACAGACCGCCTTCCTGGTAAAACACTGTTCAGGTGGGAGGCAAGCTGGTTTCAGACTGAAGAATCCGTTTGTTTTCTAGGTTTAACATCCTTGACACTTGATGGGATTTGGGATTCCAGGGTAGCTGCAGCCTTTGTTGCAGACACTTAATTGAGTGCCTCAGAGCAAAATGAAATTAACAAAGACGGTATTAAATGATGGATGTTCCTTTTCTATCTTTTGGCCAACAGTTGTGCCCAGTTTCTTTCCTAATTGTATTATTTCAAACTGATTGATATAAAAAATAAACACACTATCTTTAAGACTAGGTATGTACCGTCTGGTCCAAGAAACTCGGAATAGAATGTGTATGGAGTTGAAGTTGCCCAGGCTGCCTCTCCCAGGCTTCGGAAAGGAGCCCCCTTAGGGCTGGTGTAGTTTAATAACGGCCCGCAGTAAATCCCCATTCCTGAGTGGGCAAGGACAGGCAGATCCATCTTCTGTGTCGCAGCTACCAGAGCTCCAAATGATTCTAAAGACAGATGGGAGGCACTGAGCAGTAGTCGGTGTTGGTTGGTGAAGTCATGCTCTTTTTTGTGTGGCAAAAGCAAGCACCCTGTACATTTTAGAATCACGGACAGAGTTAGCCGAATCAGACCTGATTTTTTTAAAACATCTGTGAGTGGAAAATAGTTTTTGAATTTGGCCTTGATACTGCATCTCTTTCTTTGAAATGCCATTTAAGATGAAAGGAATCTTCTAACTGAAACAGAATCTGGGGGAAACAGTATATAGTTAAGAAGGTGAGGCCAGTCTGCTTAGAAAATGTGAAAACAGAAAACAAAATGCAGGAAAACATTGCAAATGAGATTATTTTTTTCACAGACTGTTGATGTAAATTCTTCATAAAGTAGTTGTCTCCTGGAGGGAAAAGGGAGAAGAAGACAGAACACATATGGGAAATCACCCAGTAAGTACAGGCATTTAATTTGAAAAATACAATTGCCCATGGTTGTAGATGCCCTTCCAAGCTCTAAGTCTGAAGAGTGTAAGGAGAGAGGAGACGGTCTCTTAAAAATTTCCCAAAGCATTGCAAATTCAGACGCTGCTGTCCGCAGTTGTTGTGTCTTCACCCTGTTAGTCACGTCACAACCCTGTTCAGAGTGCCCTTATCTTATTTCCCCACACAAAATTGCGAGATAAATACGTATTGAGTAAATAAGGTGTATGTTTCAGATACACACAGTTTTAGAGAACTGCTTACTTGTATTAGGTCATGGGTCTCGTCATCTGTGTAGGATGGTACAGTCGTGGTCATGTATGTTATACGCGAATGTGATCTCTTTCAGAACAGGACAAGCTGGCACCACAGTGGAGCAGAGAAGGCAGGTTGCTCTCCTTAAGCACCTCTCGTCTTTGTCTTGCTTCTCTTCCTTTGAGTTCCGTCTGTCTGTTGGCTTCTGCCTCTCTCCTTCCTTCCTTCCCGCCTCCTAGTAAACAGCACTCACGTGCTGGACAGAGCATCCCCAGCTGACTTAGGCACGGTCCTCTTTTACAACTGCCGTCATTATGCGTAAATCAATAACTGGTGCTGTCGACTTGCTGCAGGTTAGACGGGCTTTTCCAGTGAGTGCTGTCGTGCTCGGATAAGGGAAGCGACACTGACATGGGCCACCTCTTCCATAGCCACCACTTTGGAGCCTTTCTCCTCTCTCCCACCTAAAAGCATACCAGATAGTTCTGGATTCAGGGTCTTAAATTCTGGCCTAGTGACAGTCATGTATGTGAAACACAAAAGAAGGAGAGAGGGTTCTATAAGCCTGTCCATATGAAAGAATGCAGCTAGAAATGCAAAGGATACCATCAGATGTCTTCCCAGGGGCAAAGCTATTTCCGTGTCACGTTTTGGGGTCCATGACCGCCTATTTGCCCTGATAACAATGAATTTTATACAATAAATACTTTTTCTGGTCTTTATTTCTGTTACGTAGTGAATGTTTGCTTGCATTAGGAGCAGAAGGACAGAAGAGGGAAGTTTAATGGTGCCTGAGTGCTTTACAGTTTGCTTTTCCTTAAAAGAAAATTTCGTTTTGAACGCACGT